ATGCACTACTGAAAGTTACTGAAAAAGTCAACAAACTATCATTAGCATTCTTTCCCCAAATCATGCATTTTCAGTTCAGTTCAATCATGTCCAACTCTTGGACCCCATGGACTGCAGCACACCAGGCCTCCCTGTCCATCACCAACTCCTGGAGTTGACTCAAATATGTCCACTGAGTTGGTGATGCCATCCAACCATCTCATCCTCTGTCGTCCCCTTCTCCTCCTGACTTCAATCTTGCCCAGCATCAGGGGCTTTTCAAATGAGTCAGTTCTTTACATCAGGTGCCCAAAGTATTGGAGTTTCAACCTCAGCATCAGTCCTTCCAATGAATATTCAGGGCTGATTTCCTTTAAGATGTACTGGCTAGTTCTCCTTGCAGTTCAAGGGACTCTCAAGAGTCTTCTCCAATACCACAGTTCAAAAGCATCAATTCTTCGGTGCTCAGCTTCCTTTATAGTCCAAATTTCACATCCATACATGACTACTGGAAAAACCATAGCCTTGACTAGATGGACCTTTGTTGGCAAAGTGATGTCTCTGCTTTTTAATATGCTGTCTAGATTGGTCATAAATTTTCTTCCAAGGAGCAAATGTCTTTTAATTTCATGGCTGCAGCAACCATCTGCAGTGATTTTGGAGCCCCCCAAAATAAAGTCTGACACTGTTTCCTTATCTATTTGCCATGAAGTGATGGGATCAGATGCCATGATCTTAGTTTTCTGAATGTTGAGCTTTAAGCCAACTTTTTCACTCTCCTCTTTCACTTTCATCAAGAGGCTCTTTAGTTCTTCTTTACTTTCTGCCGTAAGAGTGGTGTCATCTGCATATCTGAGGTTATTGATATTTCTCCTGGCAATCTTGATTCCAGCTTGTGCTTCCTCCAGCCCATTGCTTCTCATGATGTACTCTGCATATAAGTTAAATAAGCAGGGTGACAATATACAGCTTTGATGTACCCCTTTCCCTATTTGGAACCAGTCTGTTGTTCCATGTCCAGTTCTAACTGTTGCTTCCTGACCTGCATACAGATTTCTCAAGAGGCGGGTCAGGTGGTCTGGTATTCTCATCTCTTTCAGAATTTTCCACAGTTTATTGTGATCCACACAGTCAAAGGCTTTGGCATAGTCAATAAGGCAGAAGTAGATGTTTTTCTGGAACTCTCTTCCTTTTTTGATGATCCAGCAGATGTTGGCAACTTGATCTCTGGTTCCTCTGCCTTTTCTAAAACCAGCTTGAACATCTGGAAGTTCACAGTTCATATACTGTTGAAGCCTAGCTTGGAGAATTTTGAGCATTACTTTGCTAGTGTGTGAAATGAGTGCAATTGTGAGGTAGTTTGAGCATTCTTTGGCATTGTCTTTCTTTGGGATTGGAATGAAAACTGATCTTTTCCAGTCCTGTGGCCACTGCTGAGTTTTCCAAATTTGCTGGCATATTGAGTGCAGCACTTTCACAGCCTCATCTTTCAGGATTTGAAATAGCTCAACTGGAATTCTATCACTTCCACTAGCTTTGTTCATAGTGATGCTTCCTAAGGCCCACTTGACTTCACATTCCAAGATGTCTGGCTTGTACTCATATATGAGAACTGGAACGAATGTGCTGTTGTTGTTGTTTAATTGCTCAGTTGTATCTGACTCTGCAACCCCATGGACTGTAGCCCACCAGGCTCATTTGTCCATGGGATTTCCCAGGCGAGGATATTGGAATGGATTGCTATTTCCTTCTCCAGGGATCTTCCTGACCCAGGGGTCATACCTGAGTCTTCTGCACTGGTAGACAGTTCTTTACCACTGAGCCACCAGGGAAGTCTGGAAGGAATGTGTAGGGAGGAGTATTGTCTTCAAAGAAAAGAGAAAGACTAGAGTAGATAGAGTAAAACTAGGCTTTTATATAGATTTTTTTAAAAACTGAAGAAAACAAAGCCAATAACTAGGCTCCTTTCATCCTTCACCATAGAGACAATGTTAGATTACAAGAGAAATAGGGATAACTAAGGTCAAGGTCCCTGAGAATGCAGAGAGTGGGTGTCCTCCCACCACAGGAATAGCCAGTCTCAGTCTGTCCTTCACTCCAGCCTGAGAGTCCATGACTCATCCTGCTAAACCGTCTGACCTCAGAGTGTGTTCTGAACACCTGAGTCCCACAGTGCTGAGAGAGACAACATCTCCTGGTACCGAGTTCTGTATGAACCCTGTTCAGTTCTGAGAACACTATAGACAACTCTTTATGATTCTCTGACATTTGCATGATTAGTCCAATAATGTTTTGTATTTAACCTAGGTTTCCTAGGCCAGAAACAGTTCATACCATAATATATTGAGCGATTCAACACTCATAACAAGTTATGAAAGCAGTTTCTATTTGGAGAATCAAAAGTTCCCCTAGGGACATAATTTAAACCAATAGTCATGGTTTAAAAGTAGCCCATCATGGTTATTTTTTGTCCTGTTGGAAATCTGTCCAGTTAATAAAAAAAGAGTAATTTAATTATACATTTTCAAGTGAATATTTCATAATCACCTGTCTAGAAGTTCTAATTACCAGGTTATTGAAAAGCTTCCAAATTATACCGAAACACACGTCATGTGATATTCCTGTAAAATAAGGATTCTTGAGTGTATAGGTATCCATGAAAGTACCTGAAAGGCAGACAACAGCTCAGTGCTACAGGGAACCAGGGGAACCTCACATGGAGCATGATCATCATCCACCCAGTCCTCATCCTTCCTCAGCTGAACCTTCCCACTCTGGACAGCAGTAGAGGCTGCTCTGTCTAAATCAGAATATCCCTGATGTTTTAGGAATTGGTGACATTTGAAGATGTAGCCATTGACTTCACCCAGGAAGAGTGGAGCCTGCTAGACAAGTCCCAGAAAAACCTGTTCAGAAATGTGATGATGGAAATTATCACACACCTGGTCTCTGTAGGTGAGTCTTTCAACACAGATGTACATGCATCTGTGTCGATTGCATTCATTCATTTGCTAAACAAGGATTTAAAACAGCTTCCCTGTGTCCCACTGCAACTGTTTCCTGATTCTCTGATATTCCTAATGACCACTTGAAAGGAAGATGTTTCTTTATGTGGCACTTTTCATCACCACAGTGAAAGGTTTTGTTGGCCAGGTTTCATCTTTGTTGCTACTCAGCTTCTAGACTCAGAACAGAACTGGGGATTCAATGGATATTTTAATGCATAAATAAAAGGATTAGATATTTTAAAAATAATTCTTCTGTTCCAATCACTTCTTGAAGGCGTAAGAGCAGAGCCCTGTATATGACATAATTTTGATTCTTCCTGTAAGATGGATCATTACTGGATCCTGTTTGACAGAAATATTCAGCCCACTGTAGACTTTTGATCTTTCCCATTTGGAAAAGACTGAGGATTCTGTGACCTCTCTCTGAACTGGTGCATGGGCATCAGCCCTTTGACAGCCTCACTGTTCTTGCTGGTGCTCTGGATTTCCTCCTGGTCTGGTGAAGGACCTTTACTATTCTGTCTGGTGAAGATGTTGTTGCCTGCACTGACCTTCAGTTATCTCTTTATTTTCCTCAGTACCTTACCTTGGGCTTCAGCATAGCAAAGGATAATTAGGCCAGACTCAAAATCCATACTTTTTTTTAAAATCAAACAGGCTATCAGATCAGCAAATCAGATGTGATTTCCCAGCTGGAACAAGGAAAAGAGTTGTGGAGTGAAGCAGGAGGCTTCCAAGGTCAGAGACCAGGTGAGCATCAGAGGCCTGGGCTTCACTGCAAAGAGGTTCTGTTCATTGAGTGACTAAGTCCCTGGAAGCAAAGCTGAAGGTTTTGAGACGTGAGTGATCTATCCTAAATGAAAGTGAGGACATTGGGGCATATTCCTCACATTTTTTACCATTCTGTGCACCTATGATCCCAATTCATGTGTCTTCCTGCCACTTTCTTTTCTTTAAATACTTGTGGACTTGCTGCACTTAAACTTACACATAGTGATTCCTGTCTTGATCCTCTCATTTAATGTTTTTTCCATCATTTCTGACCCACTGTCTCTTCCCCACCTTACATTTTTATATTTTAATCCTGGTTTTGTCTAATAGACAATGACTTTTAAAGTATTTTACTACCTTGAGTATTTCTTTGTTATATACACAGTTTCTCCAGGTGAGTGCTAATTTTTGAAACATACTCACATGGAGGACTTTGGTGTTTATCTATATTTCTATTTTCCTAATGCCATTCTAAAATCTATATTTTTTCCATTTCTTTAGGCAGTGAAAGACCCCTTAGACAACAAGAAATGATACTCATGCCAAGTGTCTACAGGAAGCACATATCCCCTACCATGGCAATAGTAAGTTTCATGGGTGGGAACCCCAGTCATCCAAATGAAAGACCTGGCAGTGAGATAAGTTGGTAATTGAGAACCATTGCCTATGTGTAATTTGAGATTGAGCTCTTTCTGAAAAAAATTTTGGGTAGTCTGAAATCAGTTAAGAATCATGAGCTCAAAACCACAACCAGTGAATTAAGGGGGAAAAGTCAGTTATACAAACATTGCTCACCTTCAAAATTAATCTGATATTTGAGGTAGGAAACTATAAAAGTGAATGTTTATGCCTGCAGGGGAGTAACACAAGACATGTTTACATCTAACACTGGAGACATTTTAACAAGAAATTTACCAGCTGATGCTCTACAGTGAACACGCAGGCAAATGAATGTCTGCCTGGTCTTGGGCAAACCAGTAACAGTCTCATATCTCCTTCTCCAAAGCAGGTTTCTCACTCGCAAGGGAATTCTGCTGGATGTACTGATCTGAGTGATGAATTTACTTCTACATCTTCACCTCAATATTCAACAGTTCCCTTAAAAAGGAAACATAATGTCAGCAAACAGTGTGAAAAATCACTTAGTCAAGGTTCATTCCTTAATGGACAGGGTCACATTCACATTAGAGGTAAATCATGTCAATGTGCTCTGTGTGGAAAAGTCCAGAGTAATTGCTTTAGACTCAGAGGACAGAAGATAATTCACACTGGAGAGAAACCATTCAAATGTCAACACTGTGGGAAAGTTTTCAATCAAAGATTCTCCTTGAAAGAGCATGAGAGAACTCATACAGGAGAGAAGCCCTATGAATGTCCTCTATGTGGGAGAGCCTTTAATAATTACTCTAGCATCAGCAGACACAAGAAGATTCACACTGGGGATAAACCATTCAAATGTCAACTCTGTGGGAAAGTCTTCAATCAAAGTTGTTCCTTGAAAGATCATAAGAGAACTCATACAGGAGAGAAGCCCTATAAATGTCCTCTATGTGGAAATGCCTTTAGTAGTTGCACTAGCCTCAGCAAACACAAGAGGATTCACACTGGAAAGAAACCATTTGAATGTCGACTGTGTGGAAAAATCATCAATGGAAGATTCTTCTTGAAAGAACATGAGAAGGCTCACAGAGGAGAGAATGGCTATGAATGTCATCAGTGTGGAAAAGTCTTTAGTCATTGCTCTAGGCTCATACGACACAAGGTGACTCACACTGGAGAGAAACCATTCAAATGTCAACAGTGTGGGAGGGTTTTCAGTCAAAATTCCTCCTTGAAACAACATGAGAAAAGTCACACAAAAGAGAAGACTTATGAATGTCATCAGTGTGGGAAAGTCTTTAGTAGATGTGCCAGCCTCAAGAGACACAGCATGATTCACACTGGAGAGAAACCATTCAAATGTCAACTGTGTGAGAAAGTCTTCAATCGAAATTCCTCCTTGAAAGAACATGAGAGAACTCACACAGGAGAGAAGCCCTATGAGTGTCATCAGTGTGGGAAAGCCTTTTCTCAAAGAAGGGACCTTAATTCACACAATAAAATTCACACTGGAGAGAAACCATATCTATGTCTTGAGTGTGGGAAGTTCTTCCGTTACAGTTCGGGGCTTTCTATGCACAAGAAAATCCACACAGGAATGAAAGCACGTTTGCCTTGTGTGTAAGAAGGCCTTCAGTAAATGTAATAAACTGAGAGAACATAGAGAACCCACAGCAGAGAGCAGCCCTATGAATGTCAGCTCTGTGGAGAACACTTTGCTCCTGCTTTTTCCCTTAGACAACACAAGGGAACCCAGCACAGGAGAGAAAAGCAGAAGGGCCCTCCATAGATGTTCTAACCTGAGGTGACTTAATCAACATGGAGGCTCCTACAGGCATCATACTCCATCCACAGTTCAGATCGGCATCACCTGTGGAAGTGGACCCATATGTGCACTGTCTATGCCTGACCTCAGGTAACTTAGCAGAGCTCACTCTGTAAACACAATATGAAAGTTTTCAGCAGCACCTTCCAACTTTATAGACCCTAGAGTATGTGAGGAGAGGATAAGCAACACCTAGTTCTTCTTTCACAATTAATTTTTCAGTATGAAGCTGCTCCATGTGGCCTGGAGAAAGGAAGAGATTCCAAGATTCTTGCTTGGAGAATTCCATGGACAGAGTAGCCTTGTGGGCTACAGTCCATGGGGTCACAAAGAGTTGGACATGACTGAGCAACTAATGCACACACACACACACACACACACACACACACACACACACACACACTCCATGTGGAGAATCACTGGGACTGTAATCACTCTTAACAAATACTCAGGTGAGCCCCAGGCTTGATGTGCACAAGAAACTCTTTGAAAATAAAATAAACACTAAAACAAGAGACTTTATTTATAAAACTTGAGAAATACCAAAGTATGTTGAGCAACATCAAAGCATACTTCTAAATAATTTATCCTTGAGAATTGATTTCATGGAAAGTTGAGAGATTGAAAGTTGATTTCATGGAAAGAATTCATGAGAATTCTTTCTCCATAGAGCAAGCCCACTGGTTTACCTGTGCTCAGACTATATAACACACCCTCAGTGTCATGAAGGAAGAGAAGTCTTCAGTGATCATTTATTTTTCAGTTAATGTGAAATTCTCACACTGAGGATTTAGCAGTCCTAAAAGCCACAGTGGAGCTACAGCTAGATTTCACATCAGAAAAAAATGATCATGTATGGGAGGGGGAACCCCCAAAGGAAAACTGTAATACACAGTCAGGCTTCCCAAGTGGCTCAGTGGTAAAGAATCTGCCTGTGAATGCAGGAGACACAGGTTTGATACTGGTTCCAGGAAGAAACCCTGGAGAAGGAAATGGCAACCTGCTCCAGTATTCTTACCTGGAAAATCTCATGGACAGATGAGCCTGGTGGGCTAGTCTATGGCATCGCAGAGTCGTACACAACTTAGTAACTGAACAACAACACACAATCAGGCAGATTGTGATTTGGGGAAATAGTTCTTGATGGAAATGTGACATAAAATGAAGAGTGAAGTGACCTAGCAATATGGAATACAGAGTTTTGTAAGAAATTAGTGTTTGTGTATAGAATAATAATTGCAAATATTCAAACAATAAAGTCCATGGCTAAAGAAGCTCAGAGTTGCTGTTTGATTTCTTTGAGCCCCTGTAAGCAAGGGACACAGGTTTACACTCTGGGAAAGTGGGCAGAGACTCAGCCCCATTCTCTGAGTCCCCTCTTTCTCCATAGCTCTTTGTACACAACTCAACTCCACTCATTCCAATGTCCCGCTATCCTCATGTACCCCATTCAGGCCCTGGTGGTGACACAGCTCTGATTTTCAGCTCCACTGGTCAGGTTTCTCAGAATGTCATGACCCTGCTCAGGCAAGCTCATGGGGGAGTCTCAGAGACATCTGGTCTCACATTATTTGAGCCCCTCAACCTATGTCTGCAGAGAGAAACCACCTGAGGCTTAAGAGACAGACATCTCTGCCCTCCCAGACCTCAGAAATCTCTTTGTTACTTTTCCCCCAAACCTCTGAACTGAGCCAAGTGGATGAAGAGTTCCTTCCATGATCATACTGTCTTACTCAGCTGATTCCTGAATTATGCACCCAGTATTCTCACTAAACAGGAACCCAACCTTGTTACCACCACATAAGCGCATGGAATAAAGCTGCAGGAATATAAAATGCCCCAAACTATCAGCCTTAACACAAGTCAGTTGTGAAAATAATTAGTGCAATGTCTTTCTTCAAACAAAGAAATACTGTCACAAAGCAAATGCCCCCACTTGTCTGCAGGACTTGGAAAGTTATCCTTTGATACACACCCACACTGAATTGAAATTTCCAGGGAGTCTTCCCGGATATCCACTGGGATGAGGTGTGTTCCTATCAAGATTCTCTTAATTTGTTTTCAGGCACAGATGGAACAAGCTGACACATGACCTTAATTGGCCAGGAGAAATCTTAAGGTCGCAGGACCACAGAGCAGTAACAAAGTTAAGAAAGGGAAATCTCCCCACTGACCCTCAGCCACCTCCGAGGCTGCATCTCCTCCAGTGGAGGGTGTCCAGTGCCTACCATTCTGAGCATCTACTGACAGATGGGAGGTACCCAGCTGGATTTCAGGTTGTTTGATTTTTTTTTTAAATTTGTTTTGGTGTTCAGTGTATTCCCCAGAGAAACTGGACATAGACAAAATATGCATAAATGTGGCTTTATGCACTGAGGCATGGATGATTTAATTTTAAAACTAATTAATAGACTTTTGGACTCTATGGGAGAAGGCGAGGGTGGAATGATCTGAGAGAATAGCATTGAAACATGTATATTATCAAGTGTGAAACAGACCACCAGTCCAGGTTGGATGCATGAGACAAGTGTTCAGGGCTGGTGCACTGGGATGACCCAGAGGGATGGGATGGGGAGGAAGGTGGGAGGGGGGTTCAGGACGGAGAACACATGTAAATCCATGGCTGATTCATGTCAATGTATGGCAAAAACCACTACAGTATTGTAAAGTAATTAGCCTCCAACTAATAAAAATAAAGGGAAAAAACCTAATTATTTTTCTAGGGTGTGATTGGGTTACAATATTACATGTTTTACTTGTATAGGATTATACTTCAGTTTTAGTATGCCATAGAACTGGTCAACACCAAGAAAGTAGAGGTTTTTCTTTTACCATCCTGTTGACCTATTTTGGGGCTTTCCTGGTGGCTCAGATGGTAAAAAATCCACCTGCAATGCAGAAGACATAGGTTTGATCCCTGGGTAGGGAAGATCCCTTGGAGGAGGGCATGGCAAAACACTGCTATATCCTTGCCTAGAGAATCCCATGGACAGAGGAGCCATCAGCCATCCCTCTGCTGCTACTGTCTGCTATCAACTGCTCTGTTCTGTGAATATATGGATTTATTTTTATGCCTTTGACTGTCTTTAATATTTTTTACTTTTTGTGTTCTTTTTCTTTGTTTTTAGTGTTCCATGTATAAGTCGATTCACAAGGTATTTCTCTTCTAGATGTGTCTATAAGACATGACAGGGTCAAAGATTGATACATAACCTTGATTGGGTTAAGAAAAACCTCATTAAGGTCATGTGACCTCAGAGCAGAATCAAAGGCAGCAGGAAAGTGAAATTTCCCACTGATCCTCCTCAGCCATTTTCAAATGGACTCAAGTGTGTCCAGCATCTGCCATTCTGAGCATCTACTGACCAACAGGGGTTAGGGTTAGGGACCCGCCTAGCTGGAGTGCTGCAGAGTGGAGGATTTAAGGTTGTTTTATGTAAATTTGGAGTTCATTTGTCCATTTAGACATTATTTGATATTCCTGCTTACTGCTGTTGAGTTGAATAAACTTACTATTATATAAAAAATAAATTTGGCATTCAGCCTGTCCATCAGAGAAATGGGACAGTAGACCAGATACTATTATGTACTGGTGTGGTTTAAGCAATGGGCTGCTGATACTTTAAATTTTAATTTAATTAGTCTTTTCTAGGTTATCACTGGTCACAATATTAGATAAGTTTCACGTGTATAACAATATACTTCAGCTCCAGCATACCATAAAATTGCTTAGCACCAAAAACTTGGGGTTTTTTTTGTTACCATTCTGTGGACCAGTTTTACTCATTGGCTGTCCACTTGCTGCTACCCTGTGACATCCACTGCTCTGTTCTGTGAGAATATGTGTTTGTTTTTGTATCATTTGCTTTCCTCATTTTTTTAAACTTATTTTCTTTTTAAATATATGTTTTGTGTTCCACATTTAAGTGAATTCACAAGCTATTTCTCTTCTAAATGTGTCTTCAAGATGTTGATAAATACAGGGTGATTGCTGTTGTTCAGTCACTAAGATGTGTGACTCTTTTCGACCTCCTAGACTATATAGCTTGCTGCTGCTACTGCTAAGTCACTTCAGTCGTGTCCGAGTCTGTGTGACTCCATAGATGTCAGCCCACCAGGTTCCCCCATCTCTGGGATTCTCCAGGCAAGAACACGAGTGGGTTGCCATTTCCTTCTCCAAGACTATAGCTTACCTAACCTTGATTGGTTAAGAAAACCTCATCAAATTCATGTGAACTTAGGATAGTATAAAGTCAACATGAAAGGGAAATTTCCCCACTGACTCTACTCAACCACCCTGGAAGGTGCATCTCAGCTGGAGTGTCCAGCACTCATGATTCTGAGCATCTGCTGACAGACTAGAGGTTCACAGCAGACGAGAGCTTCACAGCTGTGTGGTTTAAATTTGGTGTTCAGCTAGTCCCTCAGGGAAATACGACAAGAGTAAAATTATATAGTGATGTGGCTTTAGACAGTGGAACTGATTCTTTAAATTCTTTCAACTTAGTTTTAAGTTTTTTAAACTTAGGTATCATTCCATTATAATATTAGTGAAGTTATACGTGCACAGCCATACATTTCAGCTTCTATGAACCACACACCTCCTCAGCACCAACAATGCAGTTTTCCTCTGTTACTATTTGCTGCCCCATTTTGTCTGAGGCTTCTCTGATTTCCACTCTTCAGGTCTGTGTATCTTTGTATTCGTTATCCTGTCAACATTTTTCTTCCTTAAAATTCTTTTTACTTGTTTTCTTTTTGTTTTTTGTGTTCCACACATGAGTGAAATTGGGAATTATTTCTTTCTCTTAACATGTCTTCAGATGTGGTTAGTCCAAAGGTAATAGATGATGTCACTTGGCTAAGAAACTCTCAACAAGGTCATGTGACCTTGGAGCAGCCTCAGGTCAGCTGGGAAAGCGAAATTCCTCCTTGACTGGTCCTCAGCCACCTTCAAAGCTGCA